ATCTTCCTAGGATGCCCATTATATTTGAGTTTACAGGTGTGGGCCCCATGCCTGGATTATTGTGAGATACAGTCTCATCAACTTCTTGTGCAGGCTGGCCTCAATCCATACTTTGCGGGATGTTTTCCCCTGCATAGCCACCAAGTTCAGCTCAGTGGTGTCTTTGTCCATTCTTGCTGGTATAAAGATATCCCCGATGGGGAAACCTATACAGGGTGAGGATTTGTTTCTCATAGTCTGGGGTCAAGGTGTTCAAGGTCAAGCACTTTTCTGTCTGCTTTGAGCTGGTTTTCTGGTTCCTAGGTGGTCTACGTGCTGTGTTCTCGTGTGGCAGAAGAGACACCTGCGTCCTTCCCTTGCAGGATGGGAAGGAAAGATCAGCTCCCTTCCTCAAAGGGACAGGAGGTCACTCACCATCCATGAGTCAGGCTGCTTCCCTGCAAGGGTTAAATTCCAGGTCATGAATGTTGGGGAGCCAAGGCACGCACCCCATAGCTTCCCACCTCGGCCTGGACTCCTTTCCCATTGTACCTTCCAAATGATTTATCCATAGCACCCGCAGCAAAGCGCTAGTGCCCCCAGGGCTATTTTTACATTCAGATTCCAATGTTTTACTATTGTCTGAATCACACAGTGTTGAGTCACAAGTTACTTGTGTTGTAAATACAACATGAGCCTGGAATAGAGCAGATATTCCCAGAGGGATGATGGGAAAGAAAGGGTAACCATAGTTACCAATGAAATCCAAACATCAACTGAGAGACATGAAGCCTGAGAGACTGAAGGGTTTTCCATGACTTGAGTTCCTGCTGGGCTCACACAGTGTGGACGTGCACACACAAGATCTTTCACTCTCTCTCTCTCTCTCTCTCTCTCTCTCTCTCTCTCTCTCACACACACACACACACACACACATGGTACTGGGCACACCTGGGCAAGGAGCCCCATTCGTGGGGTCTGCGGGTCTGCAGCTCTCCCAGGCTGGATTTTCTCTGAGCTTTGTCACCTGCAATACTGAGCACAGGTCACCTCACAGGTCAGTTAGGCATTGCCTTTCTGGGGTGCCAAGCCCATAGTTCTGAGGACACTGTCTAATGGTCTTCCTGTGCTGTCCCCATTTCTCTCGTTGTCTCTGCCTGTCCCCAGCCATCCATGAATCAGACGGTCTCCACACATCCATCTTGGCTTCTGTGCCCTGTAGAGAGACCGTGTGACACCCCGAGGTCCGAGCTCCGTACAGGGTTAGCACTGAGCCCCACGCTGCCAGGACACAGGAGTCACCCCTGGGAAGACTGAGGTGGCCACATTCACACACAGGGCAGTGTGGAGGGGTCTGTCCAGGGTGTCCTGGGCTGCACGGTGCCCACACCATTCATGCCCACTCTGCCCTCATCCTGAGCCCTGCGTCTGTGACGGAGTGGCTGCTCCAAGGCTCCTTTCAGTCTCAGCTCAGGGAGCCGCACTTGGCTTCCTCTTTCCATCACAGTTCATGGAATTTCTGGCATAAGGCGATTTTCAACTGTGATCCTCAGATCTGAGCCTCCTGAAAGCTAGGATGACAAGTGTGAGCCACCAGTGTTGGGCCATTTTTTCTTTCAAATTAGCTTCATTGTACCAAATTATGGGTTTCCTTATGACATTTTCACACGACTGTGTAATGCACTTTGATTGCACCCTCTCCTGCCTCTGATCAATCTTGCTGGCTTCCGCGTGCTATTGCCATTCCAATTTTATATTCATGCTTTTGATCTTCTCCAGATCTTTATTCTACCTAAGAGACAAACTCGCAGTATTACTTCTTTGGTGTCTGGCTTATTTTCATCAACAAAGTGTTCTCTATTTTTTCAATTTTCCTTCCAGTGAAGTAAGCTCATTCCTCTTTGTAGCTGAGTAATTCCATTCTGTATACATGATTTCTCTTTATAGCTGAGTAATTCCATTCTGTATACATTATTTCCCTTTATAGCTGAGTAATTCCATTCTGCATAGATAACAAACTTTCTAGGTTCATCCATTGAGGAATCCATTGAAGGGACCCAGTCTGATTCCCAAACCTTTCCTATTGTGGACAGTTCAAGACAAACACAACTGTGTGGTCACTGTATCATAGACTGCCTGAGACCCCTTGGGTGTGTGCAGGAGTGAGGAGAAGGATCATGGTGTCTTGGCTTTTAGTCTGTGGAGGGTTTTCCATTCAGGGTCCCATAGTGCACTGGCTCACATTCTGAGGGCACCACGCAAGGTTTCTTTTCCTGAATCTTTGCCAGTTCCTGTATCTTTTCTTGATGATCGCCAGGGTACAGTTGGAATGCAGTGCAGTCATGATGTTCATTTCATTTATGACTGAGAAAATTGAAAGTCTTTTATGTGTTATTGTCCATAGGAGATTCTTATTTTGAGCTCTGACCTATTCCTCTATATATTTATGAATGGAATTGTGTGTACTGGTGTTTAATTATTTGAGGGATTCATGTATCCTGGAAATTCATCCTCTGTCAGATGCATGTATGGCCAAGATTTCTTCCCCTTCTGCATATCCTATGTTTAATGTAGGAATTGAATGTTATTCTCTCCTCAGTGGCAAAATGTGAATTAAGTCTTCTCCACCTCCAGCACTACTCCTTTTGCTCAAGGTCTTTGGTACTTCCAGCTGACACTTAGCATCACTTTCATTTTCCATTTCTGGGAAGAAGGCCCTGGGACTTTTGATGGAGGTTGATCAAGTCTTTAGACCTCTTTTGGTAAAATGGCCATTTTCAAAGTATCTGTTTTCTCGATCCTTGTAATTTAATGTCCTTCCACTCCCTTGATTTTTATGAGTGTCCCCTTCAATTCCTTATGTCAGTGTTTTAGAGTTGTTATTGTAGTGGGCCTTCTGTCCTTGGGTATATTTATGCTGGGTATTTTATTTTTTATTGTTTTTGTTGTGAAAAGACTGTACAGAGGGGTTAGAATTACATTGGCAAGATAATGAGTACATTTCTTATCAAGCATTGTAGCCTCCTCCTTTGTTTCCCCTTCCCATCCCTTTCCATCCTCTTCCCGCCCCTCCATCCAATCCTCCTCCTCCCCCCCAATCAAAGT